AAAAAAAAAAAAAAAAAACCCGCTCACTGTAGGGGTGCCGAAAAAAAAAAAAAAAAACCCGCTCACTGTAGGGGTGCCGAGTGGCTCAGTCGGCTGGGTGTCTGCTTTAAGCTCAGGTCGTGATCCCCAGGGTCCTGGAATCAAGCCCTGAGTTGGGCTCCCTGCTCAGCCAGGAGTCTGCTTCTCCCTCTCCCTCTACTGCTCCCCCCTGCTCGTGCTCTCGCTCTCTCTCTCTCAAATGAATAAATTAAAAAAAAAAAACTTTTAAAAAATGCTCAGTGTAAAAAATATAGAACTAAATGAACAATGGTTCTGATTCTGTAAAACACCTACATGCATATAAACATATAAAGAAGGGTGGAAATAAAATGTCAACAATTGACATATTTAGAATTAGTAGTGAACTTTGTATTCTTATCTATACTTTCATTTTTTTGTATTTTGTAGTTTGTATTACTTACATCTGCTACTTATATAATCAGGAAAATACGCTATTTTAGAATGGATAATAAGGCCAAAAGATGGTGTTACGAGCTGAATGTTTGTGTGCCCCCAATATGTATATGTTGAAGCCCTAACCCCCACTGTGATTGCATTAGAAGGTTTGGGCTTTGGGAATTAAGAGTTGGATGAGATCATGAGGGTGGAGCCCCCATGATGGGATTAGTGTCTTTATAAGAAGAAGAAGAAGGGGCACCTGGGTGGCTCAGTCGGTTGGGTGTCTGCCTTCAGCTCTGGTCAGGATCTTAGGGCCCTGGGATTGAGCCCCGCATTGGGCTCCCTGCTCAGTGGGGAGTCTGCTTCTCCCTCTCCCTCTCCCTTGTGCTCTCTCTTTCTCTCAAATAAATAAAATATTAAAAAAAAAAAGAGGAAGAAAGACAAGAGCCTTTCTTTCTCTCTCTCTCTCTCTTTCCACCTTGATTCTGACAGCACCTTGATTTAGGACTTCCTAGGCTCCAGAACTGTAAGAAATGTTTAAGCCACCCAGTGTATAGTATTTTGTTATTCTATCCTGAAATAAGACACATGAAAACAACCCAAGTGTCCATTAGCAGATGAATGGATACTCAAAATGTGGTATATTCATTCATCCAGTGGAATATTATTCAGCCATAAAAGGGCATGAAATTCTGATACTCGCTATGATAAGCATGAACCTTGA